GGTTGGGTCTGAGCGGCTGTGGGACTGGCGGGTGACAAAGATTTGTCCTGACTGTGGGCAAGGCGGAAAACTCTAGCAACAGTTTGGTTTTCCCTGGGCTTCCTTGGTCTTAGCCCTAAAGGTTCTGCCATTGTAAGACTCCCTTTGGTCTAAGGCAAACCAGAACAATTTGTTACCCTAATTGATAGGTGCAGTTTCAGGCCAGCGAGAAACCAGAGGAGATGGGAAATAAGGCAATGAAGCAGCCTAAGCAAATGCAAAGTGCTCTACTAATAAGCCAGTCAGAATTCTGAAAGAATATACTTGACTGTTGACCCAGGCAACTTATTTACAGATAGGCTGCCTTAAGCCACTGCTCCTTAGGAACATCTCCTGACAGGAAGGATAAGGAGGAATGTGTCTGCTATTTTCTTCCTGTCTCCAATTTTTTCACTGGACATTGTCATTATCCAGAGTGTTAAACCCCTGCAATTCTGGGCTCTTGCCCTTCTGAAAAGCTTCTGGGGAAACTAAGTCATGTGCCGCCTGCTATAGCCCTTCTGACACTAAGAAGGACTTGGGAAAGTTATGACTCTTGTAGACCTGATTAGATCAGACCTATGCATACTGGAGTCCCATGGCTCCCATTGCAAAAGTCAGAATGGAGATTTGTAGATTTGTGAAGGCCTCATTAACTAGTGGTCTTATCTCATTTACATTTCAGAACTCTGTGAAGATTGCAATTGTAATCCTCATTTTACTTATGAGATTAAAAAACTTGTTGAAAATGTACTGCTTATAAATGTCAGGATTGGGGTTCAAATATAAGGCTGTTAGACTCTCAGTATGTAAGCATTAACCACTTGATTTTATTACAAGACCACTTGATATGCAGCAAGTATTTGGGAAGCATGGACAGAACTCCAAGAATCATTCTAGTGTTTATTTTTATTAATTGATGGTGTTACCTCTTAAAAATTAGTCACATATCTACTTAACCTGGCACATTTCAATAGATTTCTTTATTTAATGCTGATAATAAGAATCACTGCCGGACCGCCGGGCGGCAGGGCATGAGCGTGGAGGGGCCGCGGCAGCCCCCCCTCTCCCACCCCCCACCCCCGCGCCGCCCAGGCCGTGACCGGGCGGGGGGCGGCTGCATTAGCGCCTGCAGCCCGTGGGGCTCACAGAGCCCGGAGTGGCCACCATAGACTGCAGCCTACTGAGGACGCTCGTGCGCAGATACTGTGCAGGAGAAGAGAACTGGGTGGACAGTCGGACCATCTACGTGGGACAAAAGGAGCCCCCTCCGGGTGCAGAGGCCTACATTCCACAGAGATATCCCGACAACAGAATCGTCTCCTCCAAGTACACGTTCTGGAACTTCATACCCAAGAACCTGTTTGAACAGTTCAGAAGAATAGCCAACTTTTATTTCCTCATCATCTTCCTGGTGCAGTTGATCATCGACACACCCACAAGTCCAGTGACAAGCGGGCTCCCACTCTTCGTCATCACTGTCACAGCCATCAAGCAGGGTTATGAAGACTGGCTCTGCCACAAGGCAGACAATGTCATGAACCAGTGTTCCGTGCACTTCATCCAGCATGGCAAGCTGGTCCAGAAGCAGAGTCAGAAGCTGAGGGTTGGGGACATCGTCATGGTAAAGGAAGATGAGACCTTTCCCTGTGACCTGATCTTTCTCTCCAGCAACCGGGCAGATGGGACCTGCCATATCACCACTGCCAGCTTAGATGGACAGTCGAGCCATAAAACTCATTACGCAGTGCAGGACACCAAGGGCTTCCACACGGAGGAAGATGTTGACGGGTTGGACGCCACCATCGAGTGTGAACAGCCACAGCCCGACCTCTACAAGTTTGTGGGATGCATCAATGTTTACAACGACCTGAACAATCCTGTGGTGAGGCCATTAGGATCAGAAAACCTGCTGCTCAGAGGAGCCACACTCAAAAATACAGAGAAGATCTTTGGTGTGGCTATCTACACGGGCATGGAGACCAAGATGGCCCTGAACTATCAGTCTAAGTCCCAAAAGAGATCTGCTGTGGAAAAGTCAATGAATACATTTCTGATCATGTACTTCTGCATCCTGGTGAGCAAGGCCCTGATCAACACGGTGCTGAAGTACGTGTGGCAGAGCGAGCCCTTCCGAGATGAGCCATGGTACAACCAGAAGACTGAGTCAGAGCGCCAGAGGAATCTGTTCCTCAGGGCCTTCACCGACTTCCTGGCCTTCATGGTCCTCTTCAATTACATCATCCCAGTGTCCATGTTCGTCACAGTGGAGATGCAGAAGTTCCTTGGTTCCTACTTCATCACCTGGGACGAAGATATATGTTCGATGAGGAGATGGGAGAAGGGCCTCTGGTCAACACATCTGATCTAAATGAGGAGCTGGGACAGGTGGAGTACATCTTCACAGACAAGACGGGCACCCTCACAGAGAACAACATGGCCTTCAAGGAGTGCTGCATCGAAGGCCAGGTCTATGTCCCCCATGTCATCTGCAACAGGCAGGTCCTTCCCGCCTCTTCCGGCATCGATATGATCGACTCCTCCCCGGGTGTCAGCGGAAGGGAACGGGAGGAGCTGTTTTTCAGGGCTATCTGCCTGTGCCACACCGTCCAGGTGAAGGATGACGATCATGGGGATGACGTAGACGGTCCGCGGAAATCTCCCGACCAAGTCCTGCATGTACATCTCATCCTCGCCTGATGAGGTCGCGCTGGTTGAAGGTGCGCAGAGGCTTGGTTTCACGTACCTGAGACTGAAGGTCAATTACATGGAAATCCTGAACAGGGAGAATGACATTGAGAGATTTGAATTGCTAGAAGTTCTGAGTTTTGACTGTGTGCGGAGAAGAATGAATGTGATTGTAAAATCTACTACAGGAGAAATTTTTCTGTTTTGCAAAGGAGCAGATTCTTCAATATTTCCCCGAGTGATAGAAGGCAAAGTGGACCAGGTCCGGTCCAGAGTCGAGCGCAATGCAGTGGAGGGTTTGCGAACCCTGTGTGTTGCCTACAAGCGGCTCGAGCCAGAGGAATATGACGGTGTTTGCAAAGTGCTGCAGGCTGCCAAGGTGGCTCTTCAAGATCGGGAGAAGAAGTTAGCAGAAGCCTATGAGCAGATCGAGAAGGACCTGATTCTGCTCGCTGCTACCGCGGTCGAGGACCGGCTCCAGGAGAAAGCCGCCGACACAATTGAGGCGCTGTATCAAGGTCTGGGTGCTCACTGGAGACAAGATGGAGATGACCTCAGCCACCTGCTACGCCTGCAAGCTCTTCCGCAGGAGCACGCAGCTGCTGGAGCTGACCACTAAACGGCCGGAGGAGCAAAGCCTGCATGATTTTCTCTTCGAACTGAGCAAGACGGTGCTGCGCTGCAGCGGGAGCCTGGCCAGAGACTCCTTCTCCGGCCTTTCGACAGATATGCATGACTACGGTTTAATCATCGATGGAGCTGCGCTGTTCTTGATAATGAAGCCCCGAGAGGATGGGAGCTCCTCAGGCAACTACAGAGAACTCTTCCTGAAGATCTGCAGGAACTGCAGTGCAGTGCTGTGCTGCCGGATGGCACCCTTGCAGAAGGCCCAGATTGTTAAGTTAATCAAATTTTCAAAAGAGCACCCTATTACCTTAGCGATCGGTGACGGTGCAAATGATGTCAGTATGATCCTGGAGGCGCACGTGGGCATAGGCGTCATCGGGAAGGAGGGTCGCCAAGCTGCAAGGAACAGCGACTATGCAATACCCAAGTTTAAGCACTTGAAGAAGATGCTTCTTGTTCACGGGCATTTTTATTATATCAGGATATCTGAGCTTGTGCAATACTTCTTTTATAAGAATGTCTGCTTCATTTTCCCTCAGTTTTTGTACCAGTTCTTCTGCGGATTTTCACAGCAGACTTTGTACGATACTGCGTATCTGACTCTCTACAACATCAGCTTCTCTTCCCTCCCGATTCTCCTGTACAGCCTTATGGAGCAGCACGTGGGCATTGAAGTGCTCAAGAGAGACCCATCCCTGTACAGAGACATCGCCAAGAACACGCTGCTCCGCTGGCGGGTGTTCATTTACTGGACGTTTCTCGGCGTCTTTGACGCTTTGGTATTTTTCTTCGGTGCTTATTTCATGTTTGAAAACACAACCGTGACCAGCAACGGACAGATAATGACCACCAACACAAGCATGGTAAGACACCCTGGGTTTGTCCTCTCTGTGTTTCTGGAGTGCATTACAAATAAAATATTTCTTGAAAATAAAAAAAAAAAAGAATCACTGCCACTTTTTGAGTAAGAGCTATGTATCAGGTACTATGCAATCAACTTTGCACAATACTTGGAAAAAAGTAAGCCATGTTTTAGACAGATTGCGCATTTTACTCACATATCTATGACTGAAAGCAACTGTAAAGACTTTAAATAATTTGCCTATATTTTATATCAACTGGGGTCCTTGTGAAAAATTGATGGAACATTTAAACTGGAGAAATAAGGAACGTTTATAAATAATTGTCTGGATAGCCAACAGATTGCTTAGCTGTCTTTTCTTACAGCAGAGCATAGAGAGGCCAAGAGAGACGGTGGAGGGGGTGGAGGTGAACTGGTGCAGTTGAGCACTAGCACCACTCTTATTCCGTAAGGAGATGGTGGTTGGGGAAAGTGACTAACAAGCATCCACAGAAGAGTTAGTCTTGTACAAGGAAGCACTGGGCAGGCCCACCTACGAAGGGGAGGAACTCTGCTAAGCATTCATCAGGCTATAAATATCTTCCGGCTTTTCCATTCTGATCAATCCACACACCCTTACTCCTATGCCCTTTCTTGATTGTCATTCAGTTTTCAATCTTATTCTTTCTATGCCTCTCAGTAGCTAGCCAACTTAATAGTCAATCACCTTGGATTACTATGGAACCTTGTCATAAGCTGTCTCTCCTACTAAAGGAAGTGGACAACTATATTTACAACTTGGATTTGTGTTCTCTAGGCAGCATACCCTTCACCAATGCCTTTCAAGGCCACCTGTGTACAGGACTATATATTGTAATAGCATTTGACTTCTATCTTGTGTTTGTATGCTATGCAGATCCACGTGTGAGCCAGCTCTGAAATTTGACTTCTCCCATTTTCTGGTCATATATGTAGATTAAAGGCAACATTGCAAAGCAGAAGTATGTACCAAGGAGTATAAGCCTCCAAATTGTGCAGTTTATTTAAGCCTTTTCTGGATTTGCCTAACCAAGGATTGTATATAGCATTTCAAATATAGAACAGTATTCTACTGTGAAATCCAATTTTATGGAAATATAGAGTAGATAACACCCAGCTCATAGTTGACAGCAACTTAGGCAGGCTTTTAGCTTTCTACTAGTCTCTAGTAGCAGGCTAGATCTCTTAAAAAATAGAGTTGTTGGAAGAAGATTCTGCTGCCGAGATCTATCGGAGACTTGATGCATTTCTATTGTTTGCTCTCATACACTTCTGATATGGGTCTGTTGAGAGATAAGCACTATGGCCTGAATTTTATCTTATCCAAGGTCTAACCTTAATATGTTCAAGAAGCAGAACCAAATATATTTGGCATTAAGCCCAACATCCTTATGATAGTCTGTAAGGAGAAGCAGTTGCTCTACTTTAGAGATGATATATCCCAACATACTCCAGCCTCCATACACCTAAATGACATACCCAGTTTAGAGTTTTTGTGGTATCACCTGCCCTCTGCCATTCATATATTTTGACTGCTTACTTATGACTTACTGACTGTGTCTATTCACTGGGTCCAATTACCTTAATGTCACAATCATACTGTATTAGAATGATAATCTACAGGAAATCAAAATGATCAAGTACTCTCTAGACTCTGTTATGGAAGAGAACATGTGAGCATATCCCTGAATATGCTTAGTTAAACTGTTGTCCCTGATGTGAAGAAAAATGGTTTCTGATCATCATTGCTGATAGGAATGGCTTAAGATTTTTTGTTAGGTCAGTGGCTATAAACCAGGTATCAGAAAGTCTGTTTGCTCCTATAAAATTAGCATAGCCAGAATCACAGCTGTGTCTGTAATCATTATCTTATTAAATCTGTGATTATCTACAGTTATTTTCCAAGATCTGTCTTCTAGTACTGGCTAAATTCTCAAGTCAAATAAGGATAGGAATAGTCATACTGATATTTTCAAGTCTTAGATGGTGTCATTTGATCCGTATAACACTCCATATAACATTACTCCAATTTAACTATACTGGGGTGACCTAGGAGATTTTACCAGGACTTCCATTTGACCCTCACTACTATATGAGTCCTAACTTCATGGATCAGGAAGCCAGGGTGAATTTGTCGTGCGTGCATGCGTGTGTGTGTGTGTGTGTGTGTGTGTGTGTGTGTGTGTGTGTGTGTGTTTTCACTGTATAGTCTGAGGCTAGAGAAACAAACACAAGATATACCAATAGCCATGCTGGATTTGGATCAATATTCTGTTACCTGCATTCCTCTTTAAAGTCTCAAAATCTTCTCCTATACGTGCTGACTAGACTCCAGACACAATAATTTGGTCAGGGCTCATAGCTATTTCTGGTAAACTTTTATTTTCTAGATTTTGTACTTGTTCATATGATGTTATAGTATCATATGGTGTTATGGTTGCTTTCATTTAGGGATGCTACCACGACAGATTTGATCACTAAAAAGGTTTTATGGAGATCAAAGTAAGTGGTACCGTGTGTTCTATTTATTTGGTTCTGGCAAAGTACCAGCACCAAAACCACAGCTGTGATTGGAATCATCAATTACTTGGAGGAGAAATTGCAGATTTTGCCTCCTCCAATAAGAGAGGCTCAAAGTTATCCATTTTCTCTGTGTCTGCCCAAATGTACCTATCTGTTTATTAGGATCTCATTCAGTAGTTTTCTAGCTTGGCTCTCAATTTTATAAGCTGGATATTGGCCTTTGGAAGAGGATGTGGGAGGCAAAAGTTCATTAAGGAAAGAGTAACATACTCTGTTCTCATACCTTTGTGTCTCCCAATGTTCTGCTACTGCTTCTCCTGATTGAACTGAATCAATCCAGGTAAGAGACCCCTTAGTTTCTGTAGTAGGGAGGGGAGAAGAGAATACAAATGTTAGAAAGTACATTAGAGGTTCAAATGAAAGTGTCCAGCAGATAATTCCTGTGCTTCTCATCATTATGTTCTAAAATGCTTACTCTGATGTGCTGTTTTTAACACCCATAGCAAGAGTAAAATGTAGAAGAAATTACTATTACTTTTATCATTGCAGGATTTCGTTTCTTTGTGACAAGGGAACCCAATTCCACAGTAACATTCATTAAGCAGTTTACAGATGGCAGTGACCACAGAGTGTTCCAAGGATGGTAATATTTGTACTAATAGTTTAAGGCATAGTGTATCTCATATACTTTTGATACACTGGAATATTAAAATAAGGAAATCTTATAGTAAAATAAGGGCCAGAATAAACCTATACTAATTTTATGATTGACCACAAATATTATTCAATCAAGGGTTATTGAATAGTATTTCCAACATATATGCAAGCAAAACAAAAACTCATATATTTTGTGTTATATTAGGACAGTAGGGCAAACATTGTACTGGTTAGTTTTTATGTCAACTTAACACAAGCTATAGTCATCTGAGAGGAGGGAGCCTCAATTGAGAAAATGACTTCATAAGATGGGTTATAGCCAAGCCTATGGGGTATTTTCTTAATAGTGCTCAATGGAGGAGGGCCCAACCTATTGCAGGTGATGCCAACACTGGGCTGGTAGTCCTAGGTTTTATAAGAAGGCTGAGCAAGACAAGAAGAGTAAGCCAGTAAGCAGCACTCCTCCATGGCCTCTGTATCAGCTCCTGCTTCTAGGTTCCTGCCCTGCTGGAGTTCATGCCATGACTTCCCTCAGTGATGGAATATTACCTGGAAATGTAGGTAAAATAAACCTATTCTCCCCCAAGTTGCTTTTGGTCATGGTGTTTTATTCATTACAACAAATCTGACTACAGACAAATGAGGACATTCAGAAGAAAATAAGTGGAAACATAGTTTATGCAACTCTTTGAGTAACTTTCACTGATGTTTGGTAAAGGCAAGAGTCATAGCTATTGAGTGGTCTTTTCCCCTTCATCTACGAATGTAATTCGTGAAGTTCATACCTTTTCAAAATGTTAATAATTCTTTGAAATTAAAATATAATCATATCATTCCCCCTTCAGCCCCTCCCATGTTATACCCCCCCCCCATGTTCATGGACTCTTTTTCTTAATTGTTTGCTATATAACAAAATAACTCTAAACCTAGTGGCTTACATACCTTTAAAAAGCTAAACATCAATCATTTCCTATGATGTCGCCAGCTGTTTTGGTCCAGGTAAGGCTGAATGAGACTGATTCATCTCCCATGGCATTGTTTACAGTACTAGTGGTTAGCTATGTCAGATGAGGCAGGCAACAACTTGGCTCCATGTCTCTTGCCACAGTACAACAGCCTGGGATCATGAATATGGACATGATTATGGGATTCCTAAGAAACAGAAAGGCGAGCCCTGGAGTATAATTACGTTTACAGTCTTTGCTTATGTCACAGGCGCTACTGTCCCATTAACCAGAGCAGGTCACATTGATAAGCTCTGAGTCAAAGAAGATGGGAAGGACAGGACATGAGAGAGGAGACGACAGCAGCCTTATTTGCAAATAACCTTCCACAATTATTAGAGTTTTATAACTATATGAACTTATACTCCAAGTTGTTCACGTCAGAAGTCTTGAAATTATTTTCTTTCTCTCTTTTCCTCACCAAGTATAAAAGAGAAAATTATTTAATTAGTTAAATAAAATGCATTTTGTTGGAAATAATTTTCTCTTAGTACTTTAATAATGTAACCATTAAGACATTTTTGATAATGGAATCATTACTCTTTAATTAATTATATTCAGAAACTGGATAGGAAGAACATAATTGTCAGAATAAAATATGAAATTTATTTTAAATACCAGTAATATATTTTATTACACCCATTTGAAGAGGTAATCACTAGTAAATGGCAACATTTAAACACTTAGAAAAATATTAAGCACTACTCCTGTTTTAGGTGATTGTGTGCTTGCTTCTTATCTGAGGGTTGGCAGCAGGCAAAAGAAACTGGTTTTCTCAATGCCTGCATTGTCCATCCACCTTCTTCCAGCTAATTGACTGATTTCTGCTGTTGCTGCCTGCCTCCCAAGGGGGTCACTTTCTCTGACATGGAAAACTGAATAGTACTAAAATGTCCCACAATCAACAACTGGCACAATCATTTACAGACCTTTTAGAAAACTCCAAATGGGGAAGTTTTCCTTTATAAAGAGGTGGAATGGGATATTGCGTTGTTATCAAGCAATTGCTGATTCACACTCAAATTAGTTTCATAACAATTTTGGGCCGCACTTTGCTCATCTGCAAAGCAATAATTTGACTTTAATCCCTTCTCTCTATCTGTGGTTCTTTGAGTCAAAGTGAGTTCTGCTTATGCATCAGAATCAACACTCTATGAACCACAGTTACAGAGGAAGGAGCATGACACAATATTGGTTAACGTTGGAGGCAAGATTGATCACAAACAGTATCTAGAACCATATATACCATACTTCAGATATACATGTAAAATTCAAGCGATAATGCCAGAAAGAGTATCTAAAACTTGTGTGTACCATTTCTAATTGTGTGGGACTTGCATTGGTTCTACAGTTGAGCCTTGAAATTTTCTTTACATGTTAAAAAATACCAGGGTATTTTTCACTATGACTGAAATGGCATTTACTTGCTTTCCAGAGCTCCTCAAGCTGAACAGATCAGGAGTCTCTATCAGTTTGGGGAGCCGGACCCCTTTGACAATCTGCAATACTTCTGAGTACAGTCAATCTTTAACCCACTGTGGATGTGCCCACATGCACACATTGCACAAACATGTGATTAAGAAGACTTCTACTGTTCCAAAGCTTCTAAATTTTGTGTAATTCTATTTAATTCTAGGGAGCACTTTCCTATGCTACTGGGGTTCTATTCAGAAATACAACCTGAAGTATTTTCCCTTAGTATTTTCAGTGTTTCCCAATTATAGTGCATTTTAAGTTAATATATTTACTCTGATTTCAATTGATTTTTGTGCAGGGTGAGAGATGGGGATTTGATTTCATTCTTGCAGGAGAATATTTAATTTTGCCTTTACAATTTGATCAAAAGGTTATTTTTGTCTGTGTTTTTGATACCTTTTATCAAACATAGCCATTTTTCTTCTCTCTGGGTCATCTATTGAATTCCTTTGCCAGAAATATAAGCTGGAGAAAAGAAAGCATCTTCAATGAATGGTGCTGGGAAAACTGCATTCCACATGCAGAAGAATGAAATCAGACCCGTGTCTATCACCTTGCACAGAAACAAACGCTGACCACACCAAAAAACTGAAATATGAAACCTAAAATACTGAAATCACTAGAAGAAAACAGACAGTGCCCTACATGACACGGGTGTAAAAAAGGACTTTCTGAATTGGACTCCATCTGCCCAGGAAGTAAGGCCAGCAACTGACAAGTGAGACTTCATAAAACTAAAAGGCTTCTGTACAGCGAAAGAAATATTCAACCTGGTGAAAAGCAAGTCCACAGAATGGGACAGAATCTTTGGCAACTATATTTCTGACAGAGGATTAGTATCTGGACTATGTAAAGAACTTGAAAAGCAAAGAAAAAAAAGTGACCCATTTGAGAAATGGACCAGGGACTTGAATAAAGAATCCTCAAAAGAAGAAAAAAGTGGCTCAGAAATATCTCAAAAATGTTCATTAAATCTTGTTGTGCTGGCTAGATTTGTGTCAACTTGATGCAGACTGTAGGCATCTGAGAGAGAGAGAAACCACAAATGAGAAAATGCCTCCATAATTTCATGCTGTGGACCAGTCTAGAGAGCATGTTCTTAATTAGTGATCAACGAGAGAGGGCCCAACCCATTGTGGGTGTTGACATCTCTGGGCTGGTGGTCCTGGGTTCTGTAAGAAAGCAGGCTGAGCAAGCCACCATGAGTGAGCCAGTAAGCAGCACCCTTCCCCGGCCTCTGCACCAGCTCTAGCCTCCAGGTTCTTGCCCTGTTTGCGTTCTTGTCCTGGCTTCCTTCAGTTATACGTTGCAATGTGGAAGTGTAAGCCCAATAAACCCTTTCCTCCCCAACTTGCTTTTTGGTCATGGTGTTTTGTGACAGCAATAGAAACCCTAACTAAGACAGTTGCAATTAGGGAAATGCAAATTAAAACAACTTTGAGATTTAATCTTACCCTAGGCAAAGATGAAGAAAACAACCTACAACAAATGCTAGAGGGGATTTGGAGAAGAGGGAGACCTCATTCACTTTTGGTGAGATTACAAACTGGTCCAGACTGTATGGAAATCAATGTGGAGAATTCCCAAAGACCTAAAAATAAACCAATGATATGGATCTTCAGCATGTGCCCAAAGGACTGGACATCCTACTCCACAGATACTTGCTCAGCCATACTCATTGCTGCTTGGTTCACAATAGCTAGAAGATGGAAATAACATAAATGTCCTTCAATTGACAAACATAATGAAAATGTGGTACATATATACTATGGAAAGAAATTATCAACATTGTAGGTAAATGGGTGAAACTAGAAACAATCATATGGAGTGAATAACCAAGACCCAGAAAGACAAACATTGCATGTTCTCTGTCATCAGAGGCTCCTCCCTCCAAACCTTCAGAAGTACACACACATATCTCAGAGTAACTACAGAAACCAGGAAAGTAAAAAGTGACCATTGTCAGGGTAAGGGGTTGGGGAACAATAAAGAGGGGAATATGAGGGTACAGTGATCTGACTGGGAAAACAGGAAAAACTGGGGCTCTAATTAGGGAATGGGAGGGAGATAAATATAGAAGAAGGAGGATAAAATAATAACAGTAAGGATGTCTGAAAAAGAGTCGTACTATTAGCTATCTATCTAAAAATAACCATAATACATATATAATTCTGTGTATAAATATTCATATATGGTTTAAATTAAAATTGTTCATCTTGGCTGACAATGCTCCTTCAAACAGCCAAAGAACACTTAACAAAACCCTCCACACCAGACCTGAGAAGCCCCCCTTTGAGTTGTTGGCCTGGGTTATCAAGGAGACCCCCCAAACAAACATGCTATTGCTATCACTCTTGCTTGCCTCTCATAGGTGGAAGGTAAATTCTTACTGCTGAAGACTCCATGCACTTCAGACACAGGGGCAAGAAGCTCTTGAGGTGGAACTGACCCGAATGCCTTCTTCCTGAGGACCAGTTTTCATGGCACCAGAAGGCACCATGCAAACTTCTAAAGGAGGGAAGAAATCAGTAGTCCTGCCCAGCTATGACGCCTGTGTACCACAAAGATCAGCATGGCAACATAACCCTAATCGTGCAATAGTGGAGCATCTACCTCGGTGGCAACGAACAGCTCTTTAGTTGGACATAAGACCTGCTCAACAAGAGGGAAATTATGCCTAGGATCAGAAACCAAGCAAACAGCTCATGGTTAGTGAAATCATGGGTCCTGGAGAACTTCTACTATACTAAACAAGCATAATCCCTAACTACATTCTTAACATATATCTGTATACCCATAGACAGGTGTAATGCTTATCCCTCATCAAGAAAACTTCTCTTTGCAATAGATGGAGACCATTACAGAAAACCAAAACCAATCAAAATGCAGAGTTGTGGAGCCCACTCTCAACGAATACATCTACAAAACAACTCCTGCATCTAAGTTCATGGAACACTGTGGAAGAGAGTGTAGAAAGATTGCAAGAGCCAAAGGATCAGAATGTTTGCTGTGAGACTGGGTCTTCTAGGAATGTCAGACGCTACACCCATCAAGTCTCACCAACATGACTGCCTAAATATGAGCTGAACATGGACAATCAACATGACAAAGTGGGTGGGGGAAAGCCCACGAACCCTCAGCCCTGCACAAAGAACTACAGGCAACTGAGGAATGCTGAAAGTGAGAGAGGAAGTCTTCCCCAGGGAAGAGTATACTAATTGGTTATCCAGCACCAAATGGTCAGCATTGAAAAGATGCATACAAGTAACATTATACAAACCAAGCAGGTTATATTTAGGGATGTATATAATAAAATATGATTATATTATATATTATAATACAATATGATTTTATCCACCCTCAATTTCCTTCCTCCAAATTTCCCTGTAACTTTCCAACACCCCCCCCTCCAAACTTCATGTCTTTATTTTTCCTTTTGATAACCCACTGATTTCAATTAGTGCTAGCTATATGTGCGTGGTGTGGGCCCATACAATGGAAGATGGAAAACCCACCAGTGGTACATCCTTACAAAAGAATTATTCCCACTTTTCCAGAAACTATTTACTGCCAATAGGTAAGGAGAACATGTCCTCTATTTATGTGGGAATTCGGGAATTCTGGATGGCTTGCTCTCATGTAGTTCTTATACAGGTAACTACAGCTCCTGTGAGTTTATGAGTACAATAGCCATGGCATGTCCAGAAGGCATTTCTAGTTGAAAAGTATTATCTTCAGAATATAATCAATATCATAGAAACATGGGGTTGGATCTAAACATTGTCTCTGTCATTTGCTTGGGAAGAAAAATTTTTCTTATGCAGGCTTTGATAAAGAAGCAGGGTATCTGATCGATATTCTGAAGGAATCGTTAAAAAAAATCGTAAGACACTCGGCATAAAACATTCTCCCGTTCTCCTCCTTTAGTCTCACTGAAGTCATAGTCAAGGCAGAGCCTGGCACCAGGAGGTTCCTGCATGGCAAGTAGAACCCATCAGTCTCAGCTAACAATCACAGAGCTTGAATGTGCTTTTTCTCACCCTGGATATCTGGTCTAGTTGCTTCAATATTAGGAAAATAATCCTAGGATGTTTTCTGAAGAGGTACTTGGTTTCACAGTGTACCATCAATAGGACCCTGTTTTGTAGAGTTTCCCAACACTCCCCCCAAAGTCCATCTTACACAATTTAAATAAGCAGATAATGTGCATTCTTTGGGTGTCTCCCCATACCTTTCAAAAAAAAAAACACACACATGGCTCCTCTTTATTCTAATGCTTTCTTTATTTCCATCCCTGTTTGAAATAAGAAAATAAATACAAGTCCCCTTCCTGAAGTTTTCACTTCCCAGAAACAGCTCTATCATCCCATTTTTCCATTCCATACTCACCCTTCTTCCCACCCTTTCTTTATATTTTAATTGATTTTTGGAAGGGTCTTCTCATCCCAGGCTGGTCTTAAGTTTGCTTAAGTTTGTAGCTGTAGATGACGGTGAGCTTTTGATCCTCCTGCCTGCACCTCCACAGTGCTGAGATTACAGATGTGCACCATCATGCCCAGTTTACATGGAGCTAGGGCTGAATTTCAAGGCTTTGTAAATGCTAGGTACTCTACCAACTATATCCATCCTCCCCATAGTTCTTTCTGTTCCTTGCTTCTTTATTCTATACTGTGTGTTACTTCTAAAAAGGAATACAAGAGGGCTGGAGAGATGGCTCAGCCAGTAAAGGCTAGGCTCACAACCAAAAATATAAAAAGGAATACAAGAAATATATTGTGGCCCAGAAAAAGAGGACTGAGTGAATAGTATAGAGTTTTCCTAGCTGACCACAGTGCTACAAAGTTCTGGGGGTCCTATGGTTAGACAAAGAAGTTTCTCCGCAGTGTTTGTTTTATTTCCAAAATTTATGCTGAAGTATTTAGAGGACCACGCTAGTGTATATTTAAGTACTCAAATGGTTCAGTATACATATATATATAGTGTGTGTGTACATTGTGTGTGTGTACATTGTGTGTGTGTGTGTGTGTGTGTGTAGAGA